TCATCTAGTGTTCACTAACAATGACAACAATATTCAACGGAAAGTCAACGTTTCATTTCATGCCCGCAATCATGTATCAGTTCATTCTACTCTTAGAAATTCGTTTGCCTTATGAGCAACAGGATAATCTGCACTTCAGGTAATTGAAAATACCTTCGAGGTTGATAAACTCGAAAATTAAAAGGGCCCTCCAAAACATGAATACCACTCATCCCAAAACAATTATAGATACTAACGGTTAATAACGGTGTAGAGACTATTTAGAACTACTAACCACCACTATGTGACTAATTGACTTTAAGAGTCAGAAGACAAATAAGTTACTTATTTCACATTAAAAAAAATCACAGGTTCAATTAATTTTGCATGCTGTTGTGCTTTGTTTTTAAATGGTCAGGTGAAAACTGAGTGACTGCTTTCTACTAAATTTTACTAATTCTACTATAAAATAAAAATGTTCACTGCACTCATATGATACCATTACTTTCAGTTTTGTAGGTTATCTGCTTCACATTTAAAATTATAAAACTGTAGAAAATAGAGTGTTTTCAAGTTTCATGGAGTCTCGAAATGAAATATCTTTTAATTTTAAAAAAAACGTTTATATGGATTAGAAACTTGGTGCGTTACTAAAGGCATTTCCAACATGTTGCAGACAATTATCAGCCTCTTTCTTCGCTCTATAGTGAAGTCCATATGGTCAGAGAGAATTAGTAGCTTCAAAAATTCGTGGATAAACCAGTCAAGAACCTATTATACGACATATATCCCGAATGAAATGGAGGCGGTTTGGATATATGCTTAGGAGACAGTCGAATGACATCATACTCCAGGCCCTCCAGTGGAACAAAATTAGGCGTTCGACTGTAACATATAGGAGGTTGTGTGAGGTGAAAATAAGAGCTCACAGGTATGAAGAAAATAAAAGACAGATTCAGCGAAGAAAATTTTCTTTATCGATGAAATCATCTTTCAGTACAATCGAATTTTGTTTTATTTGTACTATCCTGCTTTATTATCATTGATAGTATCCCCTTTCTAAAAAATATGATTTTACCTCCTTCGTTTTGTATATTGAATATATAATGATGAAATATTCCCTGCAGTCTGATTACCTTCTATTTAATGTACACTGTTTTGTACAAGAAACTCACCAGACACATTCTACAACCATGAACTCACTTGTGAATTTTGGTCTCTTCACATTGTATTCACAACAGTATTAACATCAAAAACTCAAAAATTTACCTCAACAGTGCCATTAGGCAGCTAGCTATACAGGCCAGATAAGTTTCTAGTACAGAAGAAAGTACTAGTGAACAAAATTAGATAACTAACTTAGAATCGAGTATATTAGGGATCGAAAATCTGTCTTCAAGATTTGCGAACCAGCCATTTCCGCAAGCAGTCCAAGGTCAGGATGACCTTAATACACTCACACAAAATCACATCGTACAACACATTAAGAATATCAACGTACAAACATAAAGAGAATCATTAATCTTGGGACACGTCATCAGTACGCACCCACCGAGCTTCGAACCCAGGACCTTCTGGCTACATGACGAGCTCGTAAACCATAAAGCCACTGAGACCCGACCCTATGGCCCATGAATTCTAACTTCTGCCAATTCACGACATAGCGTGTCCCCTAGCCGATGTCCGATCTGCTGAACATCACTGGTAACGACTTCTCACTAGAACGCCAGGTTACTACTTACCTGAAGAGGGAAAGTCGCTAGTGAGCATCTCATTGATCTTCAAGTGTTGGTTTGTAGGGATTTGATTGGCTACAGGATTTCATCATGGTGAATTGGCAGAAGTTAGGATTCATTAAAACTAGAGATCAAACAGGGACAAAAGCAATTAACAAGGATGAAGTCAACATGTCATAAAGAAATTTAAGAACACTTATATGCAGTCCAGGAGAACTTAGAACTTCGAATTAGGTATAAATACTGTGATTAGATTATTCAGGAGTGCCTTTACAAGTAATTATACTGTTACATGGGCCGCCAACCTCCCTCCATGTACTTTCAGACACCTTTTCAAGCATTCCATCGTCTTCTGTCTCTTACTTCTGGGATCCAGGACTCACAACAGTAAGCATCCATAACCCCACTATAACCTAGACGTATAGTTTGCCAGCTCCATCAAGAAGGTAGAGTCCTAGTACATCCCTTGTACAATATCTTTGATATTGTGAGAAACGAAATTTGTAGCAGGATTCAAGAGGTTTCCAAGCAATGGAAGAACGCGTATAAATGGAATCTGATGACAGTGATTGTTAGCAGACTATACCCAAGCATGAAGGCACTAAAACTAGGCTGAGCCCAAATAAACTAGTGGTAATCATTGAAGCGAATAAACCAACTAATAAAACTATCAAGTGGCGTAGATGGCGGAGGTGAACGTGAATTTTTCTCATGTGACAAAAGTGTATTATCATTTATAAGCTGAAGATTATCCGCATCTAATACATCTTCATGTTACTGATTTCATATGTGTAGTAAAGCTTCCTGATCAGATTTCGCATCCGATTTTATAATTTCGGAGTTTGATTTTATCTTTAAATATAATGGAGATGGATCTATCAATTTCGTCTTTGGTATAACTGTTCCTTCCATTAGACTTTTCGTGTTGATTTGGCATCGTGACGTCCTTGATTCCATCGTGTTGCGTGTTCCTTTACCAGTAGTAGGCACTGCCTGCCACTGAATTTACTGCGCAAAAAGTCGCATTACTTTTAAGGATCAAGAATTGACTGCTATTATTACAAGAATCGAAAGAAGAGATGACCGTAAGTACCTATCCTTTTTCATCAACTAACACCGTGGACAGCTCACCACATATTTTCTAACGTCTTGTGCCTGGCCAATAGATGTTTCGTCTCAATGTTGTTGCGGCTACACTTCTGCTTACTAACTCGTGGCATTCATGTGTCATCTGATGGAGTGAGTAGGTAATGAAGTATCAACTCCCGATAAATTCCATCATTCTATCGTCAAGTCTAATTTCTGTAAGCGTTCAGTCTCAAACGATTAATCTGTTTGAGTAAAATGTTTAGCTTTTCATTTACCGTTTTATAAACATCCCACAATTAATCACTGGTATCATTATATTCAGAAAAAGATGTGATATTGGACAGCAGACGAGTCTTAATTGATCTTATTCTGGTGCATGTAGTCCATATGCAATCTCAGGCAACTGGGCTTCATCTTCTAATTTAAAACATTCTACCCAACAAATTTTCTTTTCTGAAAATGATGGAGATGATGTAATCTACCACGATAATACCCGACATGAGTCTCTCACTGTCGTCAACCACTATCAGAAGTTTGTGATTACTTTTGGTGCGGAAATATGCATACAGTAGGTAAGATCATTACTCATCTAATACCTCCAAAGCCTCAGGATGGTCGGGGGTGGGTGCCTTGCGCTGCGGGTTGGCCACCCCTCCGCACACCTCCTGAAATGCTCCCATATGACCGGGCGTCTTATATAGCCTCTCCTAAGGAAGTCCTACTCACTGCCTTTACGTGGCGGAGGTATTTCTCACCAAAGTGAGAGGGCGAAAGCGGATGCCCGGCGCTCTCCACCGGGTTGACTGTCCATTGGATGACAGTCTAGGGGAGATGGCTAAACCCTGATTCCAAACCTCCAACGACTGGCGTATGAAGCTCACTGGAGCTCACCGGCAGACGTATGGACAAAGGGCTTGTTGGATGTCCTGGATGTCTGGCCCCATTCAAAAAGGCATATGAACCGAACTCCGGTCACCGGCTGCCAATGGATAGTGGACTCCTTACTCCACTCCTACTGCCTTGTAGGTCACACTTGGCTGTGTAAAGGCTAGAGCTGCACTCTCAAACAAAAGGCCGAGCGATGCTGGGGACATCACTCGTACCAAATTCCCATGAAACTTCATGAACCCTCTTACAAATTGCCGCGCCTGGGCAGCGATGATTCGAGACGTTCATGAAGCCGGCTCATCCTCCCGTAGGAGATAGCCGAAGTAAAGTAAGTAAAGTAAGTAAGTCATCTAATACCCATACTGCTGTGATATACCTTCTTTCTTGGATGTTGAGTACTTTAAATCTGAGAGTGTCAGAACATAAATGGCATATTTCTTCCCTTTGTCTCAGTATCCAAAAAGCTGTTTAATACATTCGAATACCTTTTGTAGGTCTTCTGACCAAATGAACTGCTTTTTTTAAATAATTCAATCCCTTTTAAACTGGCTTCTACGATTGTATGATTAGATAGAGCAATAGAAATGTGAGTATTAACAAATTGGCTTTTAGTTACTTGTGATCATATATATGCCATATATATATGCCACAATGTATGCACACAGAAAAACGCAAACATGTAAACGCGAATAAAAATCAATTTTGAGAGCATAAAGCAAGCGAATACATACATATGTTTTATGCGTAGGTGATCTGTTTTAAAGTAACTTTACTAACTTATAGTGTATAAGATTAAAAGTCATACATATATATATATATATGTGCTGGAAATACGAAAACTTACCTAAGTACGTACCATTGCTACTCGTGTAGGTTTGTTCCGTTATTCATCTTTATGACTAATAATAATAATAAGAAGAAGAATGGCATTTTTGTGAAATAGGGCATTGGACAAATGGGGGTAACACATAAGTATGACTATTCTATCTATTGCACGCTTGAGCTTCACTCATATATATATATAAATATATATATGCATTTTTCTATACATAATGCTAATAATTTTTATTCGTCTTTTATTTTTCTATTCTGTCAGATTTCTGATACGTTAAAAGAGAAGTCATCTAACGAGAAAGACAGGATTACTTTATGATTTCTAATTGTAACAATAATAATAATAATACAGTTGGCACAAAAATATTATTCTTTGAAACATCTTCTTAAAAATAATAAGGAGGAGTTATAGTGCTTTGGAAAGTATTATTGAAGCTGATTAACTACTAACTTTTGCGACAATAATTCAACATAATGCTGAGAAATACAGGTTAGTATGATTATAGCATAAAAGCCAATAAATTAACTTAGTATGCTTTAATGCCTTTTTTTTTAAAAATAACAGTGTATACCATTCAATCTACTATCTGATATCTTCATTTATCAACATCCTTTTTATGATTATTTTTGCCTAAAATAACACTAATATATTAACTTTATTTCAAACAAGGAAGATATGATTTCCACTTGAGGATAAAAGATATATATCGTAAGGTATTTTCGTAAAATAGCACAGTGAACGTCATGACAGATAGTCTACCCAGGTAGAAAAGTTGATGGAACGTCTTTAAAACAGCCAAACGTAAGATCTGAGATATTAATTAAAGTATTTCTCCATGCCCGGCGCACAAAACCAACTATGTGAGGATATATATTCAAACTGTCACTGACCGCCTCTGTTCTACCTACACAAATATACTGAAATGAAAGCGCGTCAAGTTTGGTTTGTGACAGTTTATATGTATATATATACCCACCCATGATTTACAACGAAATCAGTCTGAAAGTTGATATAAAATTGTGAAAATTGTGTGATAATTCACGATGCTATTCAGAATTATTTGTAAATAATTATGCCATAGTTTTACTATTGAAATATGTCGAATCTTGTGTACATTGAGAATATTCTTTTACATTATATAGTCTATGGTTTGCTTTTGTGTCTTGTATATTGACAAAGTGATGTTTTAGACTGTAAACTATAGATCCAGCTGTGACTTTTCAATATGATACTTTACGGAATACTCTTTTATCTGGTTTGATTATCCATGTCAAGTTTATAGAAACAAAATATTCAATAATCGTCTTCTGACAATGTTAAAAACAGGGCTAATTATTACGAATGCTTGAAGTACTATTAGTAAATAAAGATGATTAGCAATCATGTAAATATTAGGCATCCTAGTTCCAGTTTACTAGCTAGACTCAGTTATTGCCTTTGAAGAATCTGATATAATCTTGAAGGTGGGAATCACCTTAACTCATAAAACACTACCCTACTGAAGAACGTGTACTATCGTGGTAACCATATTAGTGTTCAACTTGTATGCAATGACTGAAGTATATCAGTAGCAAAATCAAATATTTCCAAACATTCAGGACTGGTAAAACGCGCAGATCCACTAATGCTAAAATTAAGCGTGTACGCGCTTGTAAGAACCTTAGGGTCTTAAATTTGATTCCCAAGTTGTAACCTGAAAATTACCTAATAATGGCTTAATGATAAACAATCACTTTGTATGCAACATAGAATCCTCAATGTAATCTGTTGAAAAATATTCAGCCACTGTAAAGAATATTCAAGGAGAACAATAATCCATAGTATTTTATCATTTATTCCATTCGAAAAAAAAGCTTTATTCCTCCACCATATTTGTACTTCATTTGTTTCACAGTAGTTTAAAATCTTTTTTTAATAATACACGTGAGTGCACACTGTAATTCAAGGATGTAAATAGGAATGTGCAAACTGATGTAATCCAGTGCAAACTACAAAAAATACTATCACGCTAAAGTAGGCGTTATTCAGTGCTTCTTGCCATTCTAACTAGATTTTTTCCTCTAGAAGCCTACCTTGAAGTGGTGAAAAATATCTAACAATCTACAATAAATGCAACACCTTAGTAAGGGAAAGTTTACAATAAAGTCTCAAACTCCTATGTTGTATGTCGTGTATGTCATAAGTACCAAAGATGGTATAAAATTACCAGAAGGGCAGAAAATAAGTAAAAATCTTATTACAAAGTGTGTGTAATGCTCGATACTCTAAGATAAGATGACATTATCGGCAAAGAAAGTAGGTCATAGAAGTATGAAGTCGGCCGTAAACTTTAATCTATTATTAAGTCATAAAATCAGTGGGAAGCAGAAGACAAAATAGCTTATGTCACAATAAAAACTAGGGCAAAGAAACAAAAAGAAGAATACGTATCAGAGGATAGTATTTAGTTAGTGTCTGGTAATGGAAAGAGTAATACCTGAGAATAGAAATCCCCAGCGTTTGTAACAATATAGCCAATATTTCTAGCATAGTTAGGAATGTATACATATTTTATGAACCTATTTAATTGCGTTCCTAGCGATCTCCTCGAGTCTTTTAAAAAATATATGTAACTCGATCGCAGTTCACTTCGATCAGTGTAAACGTCAATCTCTTGAGGGTTTTTGTGCATAGTATGAGTGAACGATAATGCTGTATAGGAAGTAGATATAAAACTTTTAGAACAACCAAAAGTAACAATGGAAATGATTAACAGGATCCCCTTAAACATCCAATACACCATCCATGTAAATGACGGAACCTATCAACGAGGGGAAATCTAGTGGAGATCAATCTGCATTTAGTTGTGGTCGCTGAGCTGGTTAACTTAATTACGGAGCATTTCTTTATTCTTCTGGACAACATCTTCAGATCAAATTTTCTTGACTGGTAGTCAATTTGCAATTAGCTGTGTTTTCGCTGATCTGACTGTAACGACCCTCATCCATAATCTTTCTTCTGTTTTAAAGGTGATTTATTGATGTTTCATTAGGCTGAAATATCTTTTATGCCGTTTACTTATGCACATAGTGAAAAACACACCCTGGGATTACTTTGATTCTCACACATTTCACTTATACCAGTTAGGTACTATTGAAATGCAACAAAACACTACAATTTAATACACCTAGTTGCATATTTACTTTATACTAAAACACGAATGATGCAAACAGTTAAACAAATACGCTCCACGTGAATGAATACGACAGAAATGAAAAAAAATGTATAAAATGTGTTTTGCATTCACTAAGAAGAAACTCATAAATCACACCAGAATAAAAATGCCCATTCACTGATAGTAATTATCTTTTAAAATATCGAAAGATCTACTCAGTTTTGCTTTCATGTTTGTCAGGCTTTCAGGGGTTTTAATAATATTAATAATAATAATAATTAAAAACTGGTGCGTATCATAGGGATAACGAAAAAATCCAAATATTTCTAAACATTTTAAACTCAAATATACAACTTTGGCATTAGTTTAAAATACACCTTCTTTTTCTTAAAATAGACATTCTTTTGATGACAGTGTTTCTCATTATTATTATTATTTAAAAAATAATCGAACAGAACGATCACAGGACTACAAATCTTACTGTTATTGACATTTTCTTCAGCCTGTTAGACTGTTAATGGAAAATGAAGTGAACTTGTGGCGATTTTGTTTGCCCGCCAATCAGTTACATTGGCGTCAGCAGGAATTTCAGTTGTCTTGTCAATAAAAGTCTACTTTACCTCGCTATGTATGTGATTTAAGTGAATAAGATTCAATGTTTTTATCGGTTCTCGAAACTGCTACTGAGTATATATACAAGGAAAAGAAAGAAAAGTATCTTTGCTAGTGCAGCCATCATTATAATGCCTTATATAAATTTTAGCTACTTTATAAAATCTTTTATACCATAAAATTTTGCAAACACACTTTTTAATTCATATGACACCATATATGTAGATAACTATTCGAATTTCAGAATGAAACACTGTTATATGTATACTGAAGCTAACAAACTGTCTATCCATTAAGGTTTATAGAAATATATAGTCAGGAATTACTGTACTGAATAAACTGAGGCTGAAGAAAGTATTGGATAGATGGAGCAGCTTTAGACTACCTGTTTAAATGCGAACCAGTCAGAAGGTTAATCAGATCGCATTTTTCACATTTATATGTATATATATACCTTTGGGTTCCTAGTGGAACATAAGGCTAAAACAACCCATCTTCACTTTGTCCTGTCCTTTGAAGTCACCTTTAGCTGGCCCTACGGCTGCCCATAATCCCTCATCTCCTCCTTGAACGATCTCATCTATTTCACCCTCAGACACCCCACTCGTCGTTTCCCATTCGAGTTTCACGCAATGGCCTAAAGCAGTGTCACCGAACGGTCTCTTTATCGTGTGCTCAATCCATCTCCATCTCTCATTAGCAAATCTATTCAGCAATACGTTCTTGACTGGTTCGTTCTTACAGTTTCTTGCTGCTAGTTCTTTCCGACCATCTTACTCGGAGCACACAGTGGACGCGGCTGTTGCTGAAACTCTGAAGATGGCTGTTGGGAATTTTTTTCATGACGCACCAAACTTATGATCTATTTTGAAGAACTGACTTAACATCGGTAGTGAAAGTCTGAATTTTGTCCTTTCTGTTGAGTGCAGCAGATGTTTGGCTGCTTTTATTGACATAATGATAGCCACTCCCTCAAGTGCTGTCTTAGTTGCCATCTGTGTCACTGAGATAGTCTACAATCTGGATAGTCCACATCCATTTCAACTGCTCTCACCAGTTCCTAGCACTTCCAAGTCATGTATTCTTATTTCTTTGTCAACTTAAGAATCTTCTTTAGCTCCGTAAGTTGTGCGAACATTCCACATCCGAAGGCGTATTTTTGCTTTCATAGAAAGAAGATACATCGTCTAACTGGCTTCCCGAAGGCTTTCACTAACCTGCATCATTTCGTATCTCTAAATTCAGTAAAGAATAATATTTTTCTTTATATTTCCATCGTGCTTTGTAGTTTTCGTAGCAACTGGATTGTTTTTTCCAGCGTAAGACTTCTGACCATACCCTCAGTCGCCTCTATTTTTTCGGAGTTAGAACCTGTTAGAAAACTAATCAACTAGTATACTAGGCAAGGCTATTTATATATATATCCTCAATTACTGAGTATGATTTACACAGTAGATAGGTGTGTCGTCATTATTCCAGTTAGAAAGGAAAGTCATTCAAAAAGAAAAGTAACTGAATAAATGGTACAACCACAACATCATGTGGTATCATGCCCCAGGAGTCACGTCATGTGCAGATTCATACAAAGCAAAGAATCAAATAACCGATGTTGTCCAAAGTCCACTACTTTGTCAAGTAGCTGTCTGAGATATAATCGAATTCGCCAAAAAATATTATGAATGGTAACCCGGTATCTCTTGACTCTCAGCGGTCTTCTGGCTGA